TGAATTGCCTGAGCCCGTGGGTTCGAGACCCGCCTGGGCAACTTGGCAAGACCTCATCTCTACAATAAATAAAAAAATCAACTGGGCATGGTAGCACGTGCCTGTAATTCTGGCTACTTGAAAGGCTGAGGCGGAAGGACCGTCGGAGCCCAGCAGGTCGAGGCTGCAGTGACTGGGAGCAGCCATTGCACTCCAGTCTGGGCGACAGAGTGAGACTCCAACTCAAAAAAAAAAAAAAAGGCAAGGCAGAATCTTCAATGCATATGACCAAGTGAAAAGAAGCCAGTCAGAAAGGCTGCATATTGTGTGGCTCAACCATGCAACATTCTGGAAAAGGCAAAACTATGGAGACAGTAAAAGTAAAAAGATCAGTGGTTGCCAAGGGTTCATAAGGAGGAGAGAAATAAAGGGAGAACAGGGAACTTTTAGGACACTGAAGCTATTCTGTGTGACACCGTAACAGTGGATACATAACATGATACATTTGTCAAAAGCCAGTGGGTGGCATGGTAGCTCACTTCTGTAATCCAAGGACTTTGGGAAGCTGAGGTACGCAGACTGCTTGAGCTCAGGAGTTCAAGACCAGCCTGGTTGACATAGTAAAACCTTGTCTCTACAAAAAGAAAAAAATCGAAGAGCTTAGCAGGGAGTAGTGGTGCATGCCTGCAGTCCCAGCTACTCAGGATGCTGAGATGGAAGCATCACCTGAGCCCAGAAGGTTGAGGCTGCCGTGAGCCAATCATTGCAATCATGCCACTGCACTCCAGCCTGGGCAACAGAATGAGAACCTGACTAAAAAAAAAGCCATGGACTGTACAACACAGAGTGAAACTTGATGTAATATGTACATAATAATGTACTCATACTGGTTCAATTGTAACAAATGTACCACAATAATAAATAATAAGGAAAACAGAAGGGGATGTATGGGAACTGTATTTTCTTTTTTCTTTTAATCAGAGTCTCACTCTGTCACCCAGGCTGGAGTGTAGTGGTATGCTCACGGCCACTGTAGCCTCAACCTGCTGGGCTCAGGCAATCCTGCCTCAGCCTTCCAAGTAGCTAGAAATACAGGCATGCAACACTAAGCCTGGTCAACTTTTTTTTTTTTTTTTTTGAGTTGAAGTCTCATTCCATCACGCAGGCTGAAGTGCAGTGGCACGATTACGGCCACCCCAGTGTCGACTTGCTGGGCTCAGGCAATCCTGCCACCTCAGCCTTCCAAGTAACCGGAACTACAGACACGTGCTACCATGCCTGGCTAATTTTTTTTTATTTATTGTAAAGGCGAGGTCTTGCCATGTTGTCCGGGCTGGTCTTGAACCCTGGGGCTCAGTCAGTCCTCACCTCTCCTTCCCAAAGTTCTGGTATTATAGGCATGAATCACCGTGCCCAACCTAGGGAACTCTATTTTCTGACTCTATTTTCTAATTTTTCTATAAACCTAAGAATGATCTAAGAAATAAATCATGGCCAGACACAGTGACTCAGGCCTGTAATCTCAGCACTTAGGGAGGCTGAGGTGGGAGGATTGCCTGAGCTCAGGGGTGCGAAACCAGCCTGAGCAACATGATGAGGCCTTGTCTCTACAATAAAAATAAAAAAATCAGCCGGGTGTGGTTCCAGGTACTCAGAAGACTGAGGCAGAAGGATCACCTGAGCCCAGCAGGTCAAGGCCATGGTGGCGGTGAACATGCCACTACACTCCAGCCTGGGCAACAGAGTGAGACTCCTACTCAAGAAAAAGGAAAGCATATTAGCACTGGGATTACGGCTGAGCCCCGACCCTATACTTTTTGTATATTAACCAAAAAAAAAATTTTTTTTTTTGAGTTGGAGTTTCACTCTGTCGCTCAGACTGGAGTGCAGTGGCACGCTCCCGGCCACTGCAGCCTCAACCTGCTGGGCTCCGACGATCCTTCGCCTCAGCCTTCCAAGTAGCTGGAACTACAGGTGCGCACTACCACGCCCAGCTCATTTTTGATTTATTGTAGAGATGGGGTCTCGCCAAGTTGCCCGGGTGGGTCTCGAACCCACAGGCTCAGGCAATCCGCTCACCTTGGCCTCCCAAAGCGTGGGATTACAGGCTGAGCCACCAAGCCCGGCCAAAAAATTTTTTAATAAATCAGGGAAGTAAGACAGGAAGTGTGGAAGGGCTGTAGTTTTAGATAGGGTGGACAGTGAAAGCCTTTCTGAGAAGGTGGCCATTAAGGAAAGGCCAGAAAGAGGTGAGGGCGTGAGCCATGCAACCATCTGGGACAAGAACATTCCAGGAAGAAAGAACAAGTACAAGGTCCTCAGGTGGGTGTGTGTTCCAGAG